CGTTCATCACACCTGTTCCAAGGAAACAAAGTCATTCTATTTGTCAAACTGTGAAAGATATATCTCGTGAACCTTAAAGCAAAACGTCTATTAATAAAATGAATGAACAAAATTATCCTTGTCCCCTCTAATACTCCAAGCCACTTTGATATTGCAAAATGACATGGATAAGTTTAGAATGTGTTATGAAATCGTGTTAGCTAAATACTTAAAAACTACATCAAATTCATGTTATGCAACGTATTGAATACAACTCAGTAGTAAAATTCAAGCCCGAAATCAAAGGCATTCGAACTAGGACTCAAAGCTGTTATATGTGTAGGTTGGAAGAAGACAACCTATGTTGAGCTGGAAACTAAAATCTTCCTAAACAAATAACCGGGTATTCATTGCTTTCCTATTCGACGATCAGAAGATAAGAAACATTCTTACAGGCAGCACATTGGGTCACTTCTAGCACAATCAAGGCAGAAGGCATGCTCGCAAGGGCTCTGCAAGACCACAAACTGTCAGTTATAGCGAGCCACCATCAAAGAATGCAAGAACTTAAAGCATACGTTCAGCCCATCTACCCTTCCGGGAAAACAGCCCAGACAAAGAAAGTGAAGCCGAACACAAATCATGACAGCCATGATGTCCCGATGACATCAGAAACTGAAATACATCACTAATGAGGTCCATATCAGAACTATACAAAGAAAATAAAACTTCTTAAGACTAGAAATGCATTTCAGAGATACAGATATCCTAAGAAACAGGTAAGTCATAAGTGTAATAGCCATATAATTATCTAAATTGAAGAGAAAAAAATCTAATAGATTGGCAAAGGAATGCTTTAAAAGTAAACCAACTGTCCTCTATCACAGAAAAGTCATCACAGAATGAAGAGCAGGAAAAAGAAAACAATGTGAAATGTTCATCTCAATGTTTCTGCCATAAAATACAAACATGAAACAGAAATGACCAGCCTAAACAAGCGCAGGACTCGGGTAGTTTATGCAGACCTCCCATTCATGACACTCTTGACCCCACTTTCAATCATGCATTAATCAAATGGCAGCAACTGACATATACTTCGTACAACTATTCAAATGACAAACCAAGTTATAATACACTTTTATGCATCATCGACTGAGGAGAATTGGGTGTGAGTAAGAATGAGATTCTCTTAACAGCTATAAGCATAGCACAACTGACACGACATTAATCTTTCCTTTGACTCGGTTGCACACTACTAAAGAGAATGAAGTCAGTTTCAAATAATTATTCAGCTAGAATGTTCTATTTTGTGAATTTATTTTCCCCTATTAAAGTACTTACCAATCGTCCATAGATAGCTATGGGAAAATCACAACGAACACAGAAATGAACTCTATTGCCGAGCTGGCGGCGGGACCTCCGTCCTAAACTCTTCATAAGTGAAGTGGCAGTGGCTGCACCGATGCCCTTTGCAACAGGTAGATCAGCCAGGACTAGATGGTCGGGGCATGCAATTGCAGTCTCGACAGGTGCAGACCTCGCCCCTGCTGAACCTTCCGAGGCCGGTAACTTACTAAGCCGAATCTGAAGCATATTCAATAACTACTTCTCACAACTCTCCACGTTTTAAAAGGAAAAAGGAAGCCAAGTTCCGTCCTTCAAACTGCAAATATAGCTATAGCAAAGTAAAAGATAAGCAAGTAGAAATGCTATAATTCCAAGACATCCAAACTACCATTCCGATTATAAGGAAATCCAGAAAATATAGTATCATCTTCCAGCATATTCCACGATATCCAAACTTAATCAAAGAATCAAGAAATGCAATTTCACATTAGCCTCTTGGAATTTTTTATGATTGAAGGAAAGTACAATACTCATCTCATTAATCTAACCCAACACCATTTCTATTGTTAGGAACCTCGACATCTTGAAAACATATCATTGGCCAGAATATATTGCACGAGAACTACCCAGCCTACGCACAGTCTCCATCGTCAGGTTATCCAAACTTCATAAACAAAAGCATATACATTGGCTAATTCGGTGATTAAAGGCAAGTCCAACAATGTGCTTAGATGTTTTATCATTTTAACAGGTATTTGGTAACCAATGCAACGCACACGAGAAAATAAAAATTCAAAATCTGAAAGAAAAAAACACAAGAAAGCCATATCCAGTACATGTCTATGCATCTCAGCCAGAAAAGCGAGTGCCAGAAAGAAAAACAGGGGAATGAAATGCAGGAAGACTAAAAGAGGAATCGTTAAGAAAAATCTCTCACTTGCGCCAAGAAGATCGGAAGACAAGCGAGAATTCTTTGCCTCGACACACCTCAACGAAGTTTGCGAGTTGAGAATGACATAACATCGACAGCGATGGATTTGGGAAATCCGGGAAAACGGAAACGGAGGCTGCGGCTTATGTGATTTATTTCTTGGAGCGTGATATTTAAAACGAAAGTTATTTTATAAATATTATTATACTCTCTTATTAATTATAAGAACTAATTAACTAATTTAAAAAAAATCAAAAAAATAAATTAAATTAGTTATTTGTAATAAATAAGTGTTGTCTTTTCTAAAATATTCTTGCTGATCAAGTATTCCTCCGATTTTAAATATAAGACCCATTTTACAGTGTACTCATTGTAGTGTAATTTGCACTACACTACAAAATAAGTCTTATATTTAGGATCGAATGAGTAAATTGGCTAAAACTATTATTATTGAAGAAATATCTTAAAAAAATAGATAAATATGAGAGATAAAATAGATTGAGATTGAAAAAATGGATAAATATAAGAGATAAAGTAGATTGAGATTTTATATTTAAGATCAAAATAAAAGTCAAACAAGATTTTACATTAAGGATTATAGAGTAGTATATACTAATATGCATCTTTGGCCAAAAAAGAAAATATTTTTTTGCCGGAAAAAAAAAGAGCACATGTACATACATGCATATAAATAAATTAATAAAATGTCATATTATTCATAAAAATAAAAACATAAATATTATAGTTCACCTCACTTATTGACTATACGAATTACGTTTAAGATTTCATCTCATACAAATATTTTAATATTCAAATAAATTAAAAATACAACGAAACATTACAAGAAAATAACAGAAAAAATGTATACAACTATTAGTATGAATATATTCTTTTACCTTTTGACAATATTAGTTTAATTGGAAAAATATTATTTATTTATAAAATTTTAATCTTTCCGTTTATTGCAAATATGTAAATATTATTTTGGAAAATTAACAGATAACTAGCAGGATCTAACTTTTTTTTTATTCAGATTGAGATTTTTTTCTTAAAAAAAATCAACAAAAGATTATATTAGAAAATGAAGATGAAAAACTTTTTTATTAGGAAGATAGAAAAATTTGAAAATATTTTAATAGGTTCTGCTATATTTTATATATTTGGAAAAAATTTATTTGTAAGATCAGAATAATTATTTGATAAAACCCGTTATATTTATTTTATCACACATCCCGGTTTTGTTTTTGAATCAAAGGGTTAGACACTCAAAAAATATGTCTTTTCACAAAAATATCTTCACGCGCCGGCGAAAGCCAATTACGGATTTAAACTTATGACGCCCTCATCTAAAAACCCCCGTTAAATACCCTGCCACTACAATTATACAAATAATATTAAATTGATGTACAAATAAGATTAAAAGAAATTTCGTTAAAAATACCTGTTTGAAAGTTTACAGTTCATAAAGACATGAACTATACGAAATAATTAAAAATAGATTGCATATAGTAGGGAAAAAAATTACACTCTTTGCAAATGAGTTGTAACGGATTCTTTTGGACAATAAGATTCCGAAAATTAAATTTATTTGCTTAGTATGGAATAAAAATGTGTTTTGATTAACCAAGGATAACTTAAAAATTAAAATTATACTGAAACTTTTTACCAGAAAACGTCTTCATATTATCTAAAAGTGAAGAAAAATGATTCTTATATATGATTAATATAATTTATGGAATGCCTATCTAATTATGTATTTTTCCCGATTGGCCAAAAAATTTCTATTATATACCTGTAAACACGTATATTTAATTTAAAACAATTGTGCATAATCTAATCAAAGATGAAAAAGGATATCAAAAATTCCATATAAAACCACCCGAAATAGAGAAATCTCAAATTAGGCTGGTGGACTTAATAAATCTCTAATTCATTCATGGACCCAATTTGAGATTTGTAAATGTTGAGTATTTTACCAATTTACCCCTAATGTTTTTCCCAACGCCACCTCTGGCAAGGATCGGACATCACCCCGCCATTGGCCCCTTGGAACCATTTATTCAATTGTTCATCACCAAACTGCCGCGGAAAGCTTGTTCGTTTGAGTTTAGTAAATAAAAGTGATTTTGATTAAACTAAATATAAGCTAAAAATGCATTTTCTTCTAATAATCCTTTTTATCTAACTGAAGGTTCTTTCAACAATTTTCTCATGCGGCTTAATTAAAATAATTTTTTATTAAGCTTAAACAAATGGCCTCTAATTTATATAGAAACTAATTTATTATTTTGTGCAAACGACTTATTTACTAACTGGGACATTTTCATTTATAGATGCTTATATAATTTTATTTTCTAAGAGCCTGAGGGTGATAAACAATATTTTTATGGGCCAAAGACTTTATTTAGATTTTAAAAACATATATAAAATTACTATAAGTCTAATATAAGGATGAACGAACGAGCAGGGAAGTAAAATCATGTTAAATAACAATAGTTTTCTTTTACTGAATTGGTTTGGTAGTCAAATAAAGGTTTTCCAAAACAAATCTTCTAATGCACCAATTAGTCTTGCTCGTGAAAAAAAATGCACCAATAAGTCCAGAATTTTTAAACTAAACTTTTAGATTTCCCCTCATGGAATGAATGAATGACACAGTTTACATTGTAATCACAACTGAAGCAAGTATAAAATCAGCGACTCGGAATGGAATGTTACAGAATAGATGACAATTTATAAAAAAAAAAAAAAAAAATCCCTAGTACCTATATATCTAATTATCATTATTTCCTCGCAGAAAAGAGAGCAAGAGATCTATCCCTGGCTAAATGGAAAGAATAAAGCTATTGTTTTCTCAACAATATCAATCCATTTGCAGTCGGTTCCTCAGACAAGCCAACTTATGTTTGGTTGTGTTCAAGATGACTCAATTTTTTTGACGACCTTCTTAGCCTGGCATTAGAAGAAGGTATAGATTAGCAAGCAAACACTAAATGAAGCAAAGGGAGAATTTGCCTGAAGGATCCCCAGCCAGGCCCATTTCCATAATCAATATTTCAGCATTCACATGCCTCATGCTTCAGAAGATTTCTTGGACAAGTTACTGTTTTTCAGCAGTAACATGTATGCTAAGAAAATTCAAGCGCATAACACGTAATTCAAATCATACCTGTTCTAAGGTGAGGAACATGATCACATTCCATGATCCTAGCCGCCCGAAATTGGGGATGAACCCCTTATAAAAGGCAAGAGGTCCCTGAAAAATATTAGACTCCAATCAGAGGAGATAAATTACACCAACTGACAATCCTGTTGTCTGATCAAAACTCAATATAAGATGAAGCGATCAGACCCAGGACACCCCAAACCCAGGGAAAAGGCATATCTTGTGACAGAAACGAAAATGATCAATTATTTTCTGACATGGAAGTAGTGTTAACTATGCATAATGTGTCATGGAAACCAAACAACAGTGGTTTACGTTTCTGGATACTGCCCACCATATACAATGAGCTGGGATAAAATTCTGAACTCTAAAGAGCTGAACTAAATCATCTTGACAACTATGGATCCGCTTAATTATGCATATACTACCTAAAGCAGATGGCAATGTGACCTGAGAGAATGATGTAATGTGAGAAAAAAAGAAAGCATACATCATTCTTTAAAGTTTTGATGAAACAATCAAGGGTACTTTTGTAAGTTGAATCGCCCATCATTCTGGATTTGACCTGGGTATACAAACCAGAAGTAAAGCAGAAGAAATGAATTAGTAAAATGTCAACACTGCAAGAGAAGGAGACCAGTTGGCAGTCAAAATGTACATAATGTTAGTCACGTAATAATAAAGACCAGAAGAAAAATAGGGCTATTTCCTTATATTGATCTACCAAAACGGACTGCAAAAGGCCCACTTGTCAACAAGAAACCTAATCAATCTCTAGATGCCATATTAGTCCCACCAGTTTCTAGTCATGACCCGATTATGAGGTTATCATTATTGAACATAACAAGACAAGAAGCACAGAATATATGAATTAGTAAAATATTAACACTGCAAGAGAAGGAGACCAGTTGGCGATCAAAATATACATGGTGTTAGTCACATAATAATAACGATCAGAAGAAAAATAAGGCTATTTCCGTATATTGATCTACCAAAACGGACTGCAAAAGCCCCACTTGTCAACAAGAAACCTAATTAATCTCTAGATGCCATTACTAGTCCCACCAGTTTCTAGTCATGACTCGATTATGAGCTTATCATTATTGAACATAACAAGACAAGAAGCACAGAATATATGGTGTAGGCATCAGCATATATTCTTATGTGGACGACATGGAGTTACCACATCAACTGGGGAGCCAATGCAGACAGCAAAGAACCCAGCCCCTAGACCAGCAAGTAGATGAGTTACAACATTGTCGGTGAAGCCTGGAAGTTTCAAAATGGTCTGCAATAAAGTAAATTGATTATATATTGAAAACAATAAGATAGGGACAAAAAGAATAGAAATTGACTCCAAAAGGCAAGCATCCAGCATCTTGTAAATTACCTGTTTCACTTGATCATAGCTGGCTAGTTCTGCAGCGTTAATAATAGCATTTCTTGCCACGTTGGGGCCAAGCCCAGTCCAAAGAGCCCCAATTCCTTCCTGCGAGTTAGATACACGTTTAATAATACATGTTGCTGAACTAAAAAGACTAATGTGTGTGCGTATTCCTTTCTGAAGGTTAAATATGCAGACCTGTTTTACAATTGTGGAGTAAGCATTTAATGATCCAGAGTACCGTCTGGGCACACCAGGAGGTAATTTTCCTTCAGCTTGAAGTCTAACTTTTACAAGGTCCGTTGGATTTGCCACAGTAATTGCCACAGCACCTGTCAATAAGACAAGTAAAAATGCGTGGAGATCACAGTTCAAGTAATTTCCATTTAGACAGAAATAACATTAATTCCTGCTAGAACGGGCAATAGTCTGCATATATAGTAGCAAAGTCATTTTAATAGTAAATAGACGAAATATTCCCACAACGATGGGTAATGGACTCACCAGTGGTAAGGGCAGCAAGAATTTTCTTTGACAATGGGGCATCTCCTACGAAATCCTTTCCAACATAGAAGTTCTTGACCTATGGAAGAAACCATATCATTTAAGTGATTGGCTCGCATAAGTAAACAATACACATGACCTAAAAGAATTCAACAAGTTAATGTGACAAAACTTTAAACTCACGGGCTCATATAACCCAATTCTTAAACCTCCATACACACATTGGCGTTGTAGTCCTGGCACAATGCCCTTCCACAGAGCGGAAAGACCTTCTTCCCTGGCAATGGTACCAACCGTACCCAACAAACCCCTATATTTAGGTACGGTCACTGCTTCACCAGCTACTGCTTGTTTTTGGATCTGGAGCCTCACTTTAGCAGTGTCCAAAGGGATTGTGCATATCTATGCAATATAATACAATTTGATTAGAAATTTGAGCTTTTGAGCTTTAATCAGGACCAGAATAGAGTGATTATCAGAGCAACATAACACGTGAACTAAATAGATGAAAGAAATTCAGTAATTTAAAACAAATTCCAAGTCGATCTCTCTGGAGAACAATTCAGGACAATGTTCCATAAAACTAATATAATGCAAAAGCTATTTCATATACAGGTTTATGCGGCACAATTCAGCTCTCGGCAAGTAAATTTTCAAATTTGCCAAAGTTCCAAACACATAACCAGGTAAGTCCGCAGAAGCCAGAGATTATTCGTCCAGACCTTTGTCTGTCATATGTATCGTCAGCACTGATCAATATGATTTCCAATCACTAGCAATCAATTTATACCACTAAGCTAGTTCCAATATGTAAAGAAACTGCCTATATTCAGAGCTGCACGCTAACAATCAAATCAGAGTATTTAATATAATTTCTTGTTCGTCATTTATTGACCAATAGATAAGATTTTTTTTTTTTTTTGGGGGTACATATTCAGCTAATCTACCGGAAAAATACTTTTAGCACGAAACGTGGTCAGACAACTGGGAAGCAAGACCAAAAGAAAAAAAGTAGAAGCAACGAGAAACCAAGAAATCTACCAGTCTCTTGCACATTAGAACCATATCCTTTCAAAGAGGAAAATTACCACCCAAAAACAATATCAGCAACGAATTGTCTTCCACATGAATGAGGGCACACGTAATTAAAGAATACAAAAAGATGACGCAGAAACCAATCAAGAATTGAATTACCTCCGCAAAACAGGCAGCGAAAGCACTGCTAGCAAAAGTTCCAGCGAAGGAGATATCAGATTTGGATTTGCTATCGGCAACCATGGCGTCGCAGAGCCCAAAGAAATGATCAAATCACGGCCTAGACAGAGTACTCAGTGCAGAGCAAAATACAGAGACGATCAAAACCAATAGTACAGATGAAAGAGATGGGAGATCTTGGGATTGATTATAATAATAATATAATACAAAGGAAGAAGAAGACGGGATGTGGGCTCAAGCCAGGAATTTACTGGGAAAGTAAACAAGAAAGTGAAGAAAATTGCGTAACTATTTTTGTTTTCCAGATCGTATAACGGCTCACCGTCCGGTACTCACTCTTCCCCCCAACCAAAGCCACATGGTCTCTGAGCTAAAATGCCCTATTGAGTTGTTATTGTTATTACAGCTACTATTACTACTGCCAAATGCTATTAACACTTGACTTTATATTGATAATTTCTAGTTTTCAATTTTTAACAAATTTGTTACTGGTCCGGTCTTTAATATAGGACTTAATTTTTGAATTTGTTTTGGTCCTAAATATAAAACCAATTTATCATATTTATCAATTTTCTCTGAATTACCCTTATGGATACCCTCTTAACCATAATCAAGTAGAAGAGGGAGATGGAGTAATAAGAAAGATAATTATGGTATTTTAGAAAAAATGTGTCACATTTCTTATAATTAACTAACTTACCTAACTTTCTTAATCTAATCAAATTAATTAAATAGGTATTATATTAAGGACCGAAGGAGTATTTGTTAGTTTTTGTTTTTTCATTTTAGAGCTGTTTCTTTATGATATATAGTTACAATTTACAAGGTTTGATTTCTTGCAGCAATGATATATGTCAAGTTAACCAAATTTTAAAAAATAAAATAACTTGTTAAAATTTGATTCGTATGTTTCTTGCGTTTTTTCGAAAATAAAAACCGAATAAAATAAATTCTAGAATCATGTATAATTTTTGTTCTTCGTTTTAATTTTGCTGGAAGAAGATGATGTCATTTTTGTTTATTAGGTTAGAGTGACAACACCACTGATACTAATCAAGATTTTAGATTTGAGCTTTCGTGTAATGTGTAACGAAACATATCTTGCTTATCTTTATAAAACAAGATCTATTTTTTAAGTTGTGTAACACTGTTGATGCTATTTTAAACATATTATCCAAACAAACAATTTTTATGTAATATTAGATAAAATGATATTCTTTGGACAAAAAAAAAAATTCTCTCCTTTGTTGTGTCGATCGCTTCACATTTTATTATTAAATTAAGTTGTTACGGGCTGGAAATTAGGATTAATTGATTATGATTAGAGATAGATGCGAAGACAGTCATCGACAGATCAGAGTCCTGAAAATTATTCCTTTTTACGTTGACCAGAAGAGTTTAATGTCTGAATTGTTTATAATACTACCTCCGGTCTTAATATAAGACCCTGTTTAATTTTTATTTTGATCCTAAATATAAGACCTCAATCCACTTTATCTCTCATATTTATACATTTTTTTTTTCTAAAGTAGCCCTTCTAACAATGATAGTTTTAATCAATACACTTGATTAGTAAGGATATTTTAGGAAGGACAACATTTATTTAGGACAAATAACTAACTCAACTTACTTCCTTAATCTCTTCAAATTAGTCAACTGGCTCTTATAATTAGGACCGGAGGTAGTAATACATTTAAGGTCAATTAATTAACTTCTTAAACTCTCTTAATAATTAGACAAATGAGGCACTTCCAAGTGACGAATTCGAATAGATATTAGTATTTTTTGAAGGCAGCGCTACATATTAGTATTTACATGTTCATTCACACGAATATTTGACGAGAAAAATGCAACGCAACATAGTGAAGTCCATAAAGCATAATAATTGTGGAATTATTATTATTAGCAAGTTAAAAAATAATGCAGCCGCACTAAATTCAAACAAGTTAATCAACTGAGTTAGGCTTAATTAATCAATTACAATGATGACCAAATCCTGCTTAGTTTGAATATGGAATGGTGCCATTTCACAGCCAGCACGAAGTCGCAGGACATCTATCACCGGCTGGCCGTTCCCTTGAAACTCCTAAACCATGTTGCTCCCAAAAAGACATATTTATTCCACACGTTTGGAATATGGCATACACCCAGACCCGTCCTCAGAAAATATGTCATAATATATATATATATATATATATTAATTCAATCACAGGAAAACAAACTACTGTATATACACCACACAATACTATTTAGGGTGTGTTTGGGATAGCGGTGGTAGAAGTGACTTTTTTTCAATCTGATTTTTACATAAATGAGATTGAGTAAAAGTCAGATAGTGTAATGTGATTTATGTTTGGATTGAGTTTTGAAAAAAAGTCTGTTTGAGAAACTAAAACTTGTTTGGATTATGAGTGTAAAAGTAAGTTTCGATGTAAAATGACTTAAAAGGATATGAATTTTATTAAATAGTACATATCTAATATTACATATATATATATAATGTGACTATTTTTTAAGAAGTAAGGAAAATAAATTATTAAAATTAAATAAATTTAATTTATTATTAGAAAGAAATTATATGTATAATGTGACCATTTTAAAAGAAGTATTGAAAATAAAATTATTAAAAATAAAAAAATTTAAGTTATTATTAGAAGAAAATTGAAAAATAATAAAATACTTAATTATGCATACTAGCTTTTGGCAGCACGCTTTGTATTATTCCCTATTAAATACATTTCGGCTCCCAATTATTTTCCGCCCGTATTATCCCAACGCCCTCCTCACTAAAAAAAAAAAAAGCCCCTTCTTTCGTCTTCTTACAGAAGTCCATTTTAGCTCCACAAGTTAGATTTCACAAACATGGGCCCAAACATTATTGTTGAGCAGCCTGATGACTTCTTCTACGGCGATGCACGTTTGGAGGCCTAAATATGATTCCAAACACAGTCTTACTGCAAATGAAAAAAAAGGAGAATAAAAAAAATATTTTTGAATTTCAAAATTCTAAATCAGTTTTCTTTACCGCACTTTAATAACAATTGACAACATTTGAAGAGTAAATGACAATATATTTTTATAGTCATTCCTGATTTGAAATTTTAAAATTTTAGAGGTATTTTTATGGGGATTTTCCTAATGTTTGATGGCAGCAAGAAATTTACTAATCCCGAAGACTTATTGCTGTGTTTGGTGATTGCGTTACTTCTCCTCTTTGATGGGAGTAATTGTCAAAAATTGACCCAATCCGATTGTCAAAGCTGATGTAGAGATCAGGGAAGCCTTCAAGATGTTCACAGCCTGCATTCATTCATATAATTAATCATGTTCGAAATCAGAACAAACGTCGTAGAGAGTGATTGGGTGTTATAAGAATTGCTTTTTAAAAACACTTTTCGTAAATCGAGATAAATTCTTTTACATATTTACTTCATATACCGTAAAATCACTTCTGAAACCATAGTTTGATTTCCATCCAAATACCACCGTAAAGTCATATGAAAAACAAGACATGCTAAAATGCTTAAACTTAGAATAGATTCAATGTGACATGTAAGAGTATACGTACCTCCTGGACACCAACGCAGATTGTCCTTTCTTCCAAGTCATGCTCAGAAACTTTAGTTCTTCCCTGTCATGAAATCAGAGGAATCAAATGTAAGTCAAACTAGGATACAATTTGTCGATGCTTCCCAAACCAGAGTTTCCTTCTAAAACTCTCTCCACTGCTCCTAGTGGGATTGCCAGGAAGCTAAGAATCTGGTCCATGAAATCTTCATCCACTATAACAAACAACAATGTTTTGCACTCAGATTTTGCAATCATTCTGTTCATCTTCATCTTCCTATCCTTTCCGTCATATACCTCACTTATCTCGAACGTCGTGGCTTTGGGATTCTCAGTGATTTGTTTCCTTCGTAATGATGAATGTGCAAGGGCTGTATTTGAAACCAGCGAGCACTTGAGGAGGTCCACTACCTTCAATTAAGGGACAGATTAAAATGTATTGAGATGATAAGAAATCTACGAAACGCATTCACCGCACCCTGACATAACACTAAGATTGATTACCTCCTTTGAACTGATATAAAAAGTGAGATCCTCGATTTTGTCTTTAGTACGTAGACTCTTAAGCAGACACAACGTTGTAGTCAAATTGACAGGCATTACATTCACTACAAAAGAAAAAGCTTTTAGCGACAGAATTTGTTCCGTCGCTAATTCTTTTGTTACTAATTGATTAGCAACTCGATTTTTTAAAAAATAAAACAAAATACCATGTGGCACCTCTACCAATTGCCACGTCATCAGTGGGGATCACCTCTACGTGTCGCTACTACCTCACATCCGCCTGTCACGTGTGCGCCACGTGTCACCACCACATAATTCTCTCCTCAAAATGACTTTTCCATGGCTTGAACCCAGAACCTCCTCCGTGCGCATGTGCGGCTTTACCAGTTGAGCTGCAATGAACATGTTGACTTATTATGTAAAATTAAATATATATATAATATTATTTTATACAAATAATTATATATACATATATATTATTAAAAACTAAAAATATACTATATGATAATTTTAATCATAACTATTTTAATGAAAAAATAATTTTTAAATATTTGCTTTACTATTTTTTATATTTTTTTAAAAAATATTTTAAATATAATTTTAATTTCTAACGACACTAATTTTGAATTTTAAATCATAAATAATTTTTTAAAATATTTTTTAAATTTATTTTTTAATTAACATTGATAAGATATACAATTTAATTATATATATTATATTACATTATATTATATTATGTATATGTGTTTTATACATTTGAAGAAAATAATTTACAATTAGTCAAAAAATCTTGTTATTTAAAAAATAACTACTATAATAAAATCTAATAAATTATTCTATATAAAAAGTTAAATGATTTAAATAGATTATGATAAACAGTATTTTCCTACTTGTATATATATCCTATATAATTTATTTTCTTAAAATTTGTGATTGAATTTGCAACGAAAACAAATTCTGTCGCTAATTTTTGACGGAATAGCGAAAGAATTTCCGTCGCTAATTTTTTTGACGGATTAGTGACGGAATTTTTTGACGGAAAAAGATTTCGTTGCTAAATATTTATTGATGGATTTTCTGACGGATTAGCGATGGAATTTAGCAACAGACAGAAATTTCGTTGCTAATCCGTTGAAAAAATTAGCGACAGAATTTCCGTTGCAATTCCGTCAGAAATTAGTGACGGAATTTGTTTCAGTCACAAATTCTGTCAG